ACATCCGATTAGAGATCAATACATCCGATTAGAGATCAGTACATCCGATTAGAGATCAATACATCCGATTAGAGATCAATACATCCGATTAGAGATCAGTACATCTGATTAGAGATCAGTACATCCGATTAGAGATCAATACATCCGATTAGACATCAATACATCCGATTAGAGATCAATACATCCGATTAGAGATCAATACATCCGATTAGAGATCAATACATGTGATTAGAGATCAATACATCCGATTAGAGATCAATACATCCGATTAGAGATCAGTACCACGAGGTGATTATCACTCCCATGTGCGGGAGGCGTAGCCTTTTCTCCTCCTTAAAGGACCAATAAGCAGCAAGAAGGCAGCGCAGTGATGAAGAGCCGGCAGCAGGAAATGTCCTGTAACTGGCTGCTGTGAGTAAAGTGATTGTAAACACAATGTAAGAAATGAAGGTTTATACTTCTCTGCTGCGTAATCCCCCAATTGTCCTTGTTTGGTGTCACGACTAGAGATGAGCGAATCGAAGTTGGCGAAGTGGAATTAGTTTCGAATCCGAAAAATAGCCTACTTCGGACGCGCGAATCGAAATTTTTTTCCTAAAATGGCGGCGGACATGTGCGGCGACGGAGCGGGGATGTCTGGGAAGGCGCGCAGACAAGGCGCGCTGACCCATAATGCATTCCTTAATGACATGTGATCGCATCAGCCAATCAGCAGCCAGCCAGCCAGCACTGTGTAATGGTCGAGCTATAAATAGCGGCCATTTTAGAATTCTTCATTTGCCTGCAGTCATTGAACAGAGGCAGACCTGTCTGTACTAGGGACAGGGACAGAGTTAGGGCCACAGAAACGTTACTTGGGGACAGAGAAACGTTACTTAGGGACACAGAATTGTTAATGAGGGCCACAGAATCGTTACTTAGGGCCACAGAATTGTTACTCAGGGACAGACACAGAATTGTTACTGAGGGACACAGAATTGTTACTGAGGGCCACAGAATTGTTACTGAGGGCCACAGAAACGTTAATCAGGGACACAGAATTGTTACTGAGGGCCACAGAACCGTTACTTAGGGCCACAGAATTGTTACTCACGGACAGACACAGAATTGTTACTGAGGGACACAGAATTGTTACTGAGGGCCACAGAAACGTTAATCAGGGACACAGAATTGTTACTGAGGGCCACAGAACCGTTACTTAGGGCCACAGAACCGTTACTTAGGGCCACGTAAACGTTAATCAGGGACAGACACAGAATTGTTACTGAGGGACACAGAATTGTTACTGAGGGCCACAGATAACCGTTACTTAGGGCCACATAAACGTTAATCAGGGGGACACAGAATTGTTACTGAGGGCCACAGAAACGTTACTTAGGGCCACATAATTGTTACTCAGGGACAGACACAGAATTGTTACTCAGGGACACAGAATTGTTACTCAGGGACACAGAATTGTTACTGAGGGACACAGAATCGTTACTTAGGGCCACAGAATTGTTACTCAGGGACACAGAATTGTTACTCAGGGACAGACACAGAATTGTTACTCAGGGTTTACTCAGCACACAGAATTGTTACTCAGGGACACAGAATTGTTACTCAGGGACACACATAATCGTTTAATTAAAGAGTATGTCAGACAACACGCAGAGGAGGCAATGTTTTAGGAGCGAGCAGACGTGGCAGCAGAGGAAGGGGTCGAGGCAGCACTAGTCGCAGCCAGAGGCCAGTGCTCCCGGTGTCATCCAGCGGTCGTGTCTCCACCGACAACCCTGCCGTCATTGATTGGTTGGCTCGGTCGTCTTCCTCTTCCCAGGTCACCTCTGACACCTACAGCCAACGGTCGGTGGGTACGTCAGACACAACCGTTAGTTGGCATGGCCCGGGAGCAAGCCCACTGAAATCACGTGTCCTCTACCTGCCCCTGTCCTTTGGTGTTCCCTCACCAAGCGAAGTATCGCATGCTGTGGGCTCAGCCCCACTGTACAGTGAGGAAGAGCTAACAGAGGGCGGTCAGGAACGGGGGGAGAGACATCCGCCTCTTCAGCAGCCAGGCGAAGAAGTAGTGGCGAGGAGAGTGGCTCGGTAGCCGGTCTAGAGACAGGTCTGTCTCCTGACCCACACGCAGCCGAGGGGGCTAGTAGTGAGGCGGAGACCCTAATTGATGATGATGAGGCTGATCGCACTTGGCAGCCTCGTCGTCATCAGGCAATTTCTTCCGCATCATCAGGAGAAGAGGGTGGCAGCTTGGCAGTGAGCGAAACAGTCGGTGGGTTGCCCAGGAGGCAGCAGGGTCGCAGCAGTGTCAGTGGAGCCAAACAGCCACGGAGTAGAGCACCAGCTCCACTGCAGCCTACCACCACGGCCAGTAGTGGTGCCGGTGTGCACGGAGGAAGCAGCAGTCAGCCAGTGAGGAGTAGCGGGGGCAAAGTTTCCTACTCGGCGGTGTGGCAATTTTTCGTCAAGCCGCCCGAGGAAGTAAACGTAGCTGTATGTCGACTATGTGGCTAGAAAGTCAAGCGTGGCCAGGGGGCCCATGTTGGGACTACAGCGTTGCGGCAGCATATGCAGCGTCGCCATTTGGTGGCCTGGGAAAACCGTGATAAAGATACGGCGGTTCTGCCTGCCCCAGCCCCCGCTCCATCACCCGCTCCGTTACTTGCTCCGTCACCCGACGTCAATCGCCCTCCATCAGCCAGTCAAGGCTCCAACACCTCTGCTGAGGGGAGTTGTCGCTCGTTGGCATCTTCCGCTCGTTCAGATGCTCCTTCTCCTGCTACTCCTCTTCTCGGATTCCGTCAGCAGTCTTTCTTGGAATCCGTATCCAAGAGACAACAGTTTGCGAGCACGCACCCGACGGTGCAAAAGCTGAACGTCCTCCTGTCCAAGTTGCTGGTGCTGCAGTCCCTCCCTTTCCAAGTGGTGGACTCAGCACCTTTCAGAGAAAATGATGGCTTGTGCCGCGCCGCGGTGGAGAGTGCCAAGCCGTCATTTCTTCGCCAAAAAGGCAGTGCCAGCCCTGCATTCACATGTAGAAGAGATGGTGGGCCAGTCTTTGAGCATGTCGGTCTCTGCCAAAGTGCACGGCAGCGCCGACGTGTGGAGCTGTAACTACGGTCAGGGACAGTACATGTCATTTACGGCCCACTGGGTGAACGTGGTGCCGGCACAGCCGCACCAGCAACTTGGACAGGTCACGACGCTTTTGCCTCCACGTTTGCACGTCCTTGGTCCAGCAAAGATGTCCGCCTCTACACCTCTTCTTCCGCCGTGTCCTCAGCCGCCACCACCCCCGTGCCAAGTCCCATTACCCGACCGGCATATCACATGTGCAGGGCGCAACGGTGTCACGCTGTGCTGCACCTGGTATGCCTTGGTGAACGTAGTCACACAGGGGAGGAACTTCTGAGTGTAATGAACAGAGAAATCGACAGATGGCTGTCTCCGCGCAAACTCAAAATCGGAACCATGTTGACCGACAACGGAAAGAACATGGTGTCTGCTCTGCGTCAAGGAAGGTTGTGCCATGCGCCATGCATGGCTCACGTGTTCAATCTGGTTGTCAAGCGGTTCCTAAAATCCACCATCCCACTGCAAGACATCCTTAAAATGTCACGTAAACTTTGCATGCATTTCAGCCATTCCTACAGCGCAAAGAACACACCCTCCTTGAGCTGCAGCGGCAGAACGGAATTCCACAGCATCGCCTGATCTGCGACGTTGCAACAAGGTGGAATTCAACCCTACACATGTTAGACCGCCTTTACGAGCAGCGAAAGGCCATCACCGATTTCCTGATGTTACAAGCGGATAAAGGTACTCCCCTGTGTAACTTAGATGTCAGCCATTGGCAGCTCATGCGTGACACCTGCCGCTTGCTCAGGCCCTTTGAGGAGGCCACGCTATTCGTGAGTCGGCAGGACTATGGGATGAACGACGTCATTCCTCTGTTGCACGTCCTGGAACAAATGCTGTTAACAATGGCTGGTCAGGGTGCGGTAGACGTGGCGCACAGATCTCAACGCCACATGACCCTGTGGGGGCAGGACAGGAAGAAGAGGAGGAGGTAGAGGAGGACATTGGTGCTCAGGAATTATTGAGTGAAATGGGTGGTTTTTCCACTCAGCGGACAGGAGTGGAGGAGCAGGAGCATCTGGTAGAGGAGGAGGAGGAGGAGACAGAGGACCCAGACGCACCGTGGCAGTATGCTGTGGAGATGGAGGCAGGGAGTCCCTCGCATTCCTTGGCACAAATGGCCCATAGCATGCTCGGTTGCTTGCGTAGCGACAGCCGAATAATAACCATCAGACAGAGGGATGACTTTTGGCTGTCCACCTTGTTGGACCCTCGCTACCGGTCCAAAAATGGTGGCCTTTTTCACACCTGCTGAGAGGGAGGCCAAAATTACGTACTATAAAAACCACCTATGTAGTCAGTTGGTCTCTGCCTTTCTGCGCCAACGTCCATCCTCAGACACTGTGGGCCCTGTGCGCTCGCGTTCCGCTGCCATGGCAGCAGGGGAGGGGTGGGGTGGTAGGAGCAGTGGCAGCTCCACCAGCAGCGGCTGCCTCAGTCTGCAGTCGATGATGAGTAGCTTTCTTCACCAGCGCAGTGAGGAAACTACTAACCAGCCGCAGCAGCAGCAGCAGCAGCATCAGGTGGACCTGGAGCAGGAGCTCAAACAACAGGCTTGGGCCTACTTGGACAGCACCCTGCCAACCGAGGTAGACAATCCCCTTGACTACTGGGCAACGAAACTTGACCTTTGGCCCCAACTAGCTGAATTTGCCCTTGAAAGGCTGTCATGCCCGGCCAGTAGCGTGGCATCGGAGCGCGTGTTTAGTGCGGCAGGAGGTATTGTAACTCCGCGGAGGACACGACTGTCCACCCAAAGTGTGGAGAGACTCACGTTTGTGAAAATGAATCAGGCATGGATTAGTCTGGATTTCAAACCACCAGTTCCTGACACAACTGACTAAATCCGCCATGAATCATGCCTCAAACATGTGCCACTTTCAGGTCTCCTCACACTGCTGGTGTGTTCCATTTTTTGTCATAGGGTGTGCTGGCAGATTACGGGCCATCCCATAGCTGCTGCCAGGCCCCTAATCTGCCATGGGCCCTGTACCGCCCTCCTCATGCTGCTGCCAGGTCCAGAGTCTCTCATGGGTCCCTGTACGGCCTCCCATTGCTGCTGTCTCCATCGCCACACTCTGCCATGTGCCACTTTCAGGTCTCCTCACACTGCTGGGTGTGTTGAATTTTTTGACATAGGTGCTGGCAGATTACGGGCCTCCTATAGCTGCTGCCAGGCCCCTAATCTGCCATGGGCCCCTGTACCGCCTCCTCATGCTGCTGCCAGGTCCACAGTCTCTCATGGGTCCCTGTACGGCCTCCCATTGCTGCTGTCTCTCATCGCCACACTCTGCCATGTGCCACTTTCAGGTCTCCTCACACACTGCTGGTGTGTTCCATTTTTTTGTCATAGGGTGCTGGCAGATTACGGGCCTCCTATAGCTGCTGCCAGGCCCCTAATCTGCCATGGGCCCCTATATAACCGCCTCCTCATGCTGCTGCCAGGCCTGTAATCTGCCATGGGGCCCCGGTACCGCGCTGGTCACGCTGCTGCTGGGCCCACAGTGTGACATGGGTCCTTGTACCGCCTCCCATTGCTCCCACTCTGCCATGTGCCACTTTCAGGTCTCCTCACGCTCCTGCTGGTTTCCATTTTGTCATAGGGTGCTGTATGGCCTCCCATTGCTGCTGCCTCCACCGCCACACTGTGGCTCCAAACACTGGTTTTGGCCCCGTGACTGGCCAAATGAGTGAAGTGTGCGGTGATTCTAAGATCGACGGCACTCATCTGCAATGTCATACTGACTGACAGTATTATTTCTCTTCCCAGCAGACTCCAAGGCATTTAAATTAAAGGTACAGTGTTCTGCACTAATATAAAGGCTCTCTGAAGCCTAGAAAACACCCCTTTTATAAGTTAAATTCGCAGCGAAATATTCGACTCGAATCGAATATTTTCCACGAATTCGCGAGCCGAATCAGTCGAATCGAATTTTTGAATACTTCGCTCATCTCTACTCATGGCTCCTCGTGTTCTCAGTGCGCTCCTACGGTGGGACACCTGCAGGCTCAATCCTGAGCCGCTGTGTCAATTGACAGACTCCGGCTCCACCATCCCTCAATCTCCCTTCACTGGCTGTGATTGATAACAGACTCCGGCTCCACCATCCTCAATCTCCCTTCACTGGCTGTGATTGATGACAGACTCCGGCTCCACCATCCCTCAATCTCCCTTCACTGGCTGTGATTGATGACAGACTCCGGCTCCACCATCCCTCAATCTCCCTTCACTGGCTGTGATTGATGACAGACTCCGGCTCCACCATCCCCAAAATCTCCCTTCACTGGCTGTGATGACAGAAGGAGCAGCTGCCTCAGCAAAGCCTGTTAGACCTGGAAGTCAGAAGAGAAAGCCGCTATACAGACATATGGCGCTGGATGAAGTGTAACAAGGGGAGTGAGGGGGCGGTAAATATCACATAAACATTCATCACCTTAATGGCAGGAAAAAATTGTTTAGACTTTACAATCACTTTAAAGCCCAACTCCAGGCAAAAACAAATATTACGGAGGGGCTGCGAGGGGTAACTACCGTGTCTGTCTAGTGGTGACAGATATACTTTACCTGATCTTTTAATTCTCCCCGCAGCTCGTGCACCTCCACCCCCCATGATCTAGTGTTCTTCCGTAGTGAATGG